CCCGGACCCCGGGGGGGGGAGGTGCGGGGAGACCGAAAAACCCCCATACCCCCCCCACCTGGGGAAAAAAGAGCAAAACCCCCGACAAAAAAAAAAAAAAAAAAAAAAAAAATTTAGTTCTAAAGGCAACAGAGGTAACAGGTAAACAGTAAGGAAAAGTTAGAAACAAATTGGAATTTATTTGAATCTTTGATTTCTGGCTGGGCGTGGTGTATCACACCTGTAATCCCAGCACTTTGGGAGGCTGAGGCAGGAGAATCGCTTGAACCTGGGAGGCGGAGGTTATAGTGAGCCAAGATTGCATCACTGCACTCCAACCTGGGTGACAATAGCAAAGCTCCGTCTCAAAAAAAAAAAATTTTTTTTTCATTTATTTTTTAATTGTTATGGGGGTTTCTGGTGAGAATATCAGATCACAGAAGCATAAAACTAGTTTTTTTAATCAAATTTTCTATTACTTGACTTTTGTTTTTTATTTTTAATTTAATTTAATTTTATTTTTAAAGATGGGGGTTTCACCATGTTGGTGAGGCTGGTCTTGAACTTCCGACCTCAGGTGATCTGCCTGCCTTGGCCTCCAAAGTGCTTGGATTACAGGTGTGAACCACCATACCCAGCTTTGACGTTTCTTATGTCTATTTTTTTTTTTTTTTTTTTTTTTTTTGAGATAGGGTCTCACTCTGTTGTCCAAGCTGGAGTGCAGTAATGTGATCATGGCTCACTGCAGCCTCAACTTCCTAGGCTCAAGTAATCCTCCTGAGGAGCTGGGACTACAGGTGGGCACCACCACACCTGGTTAATTTTTTTCTATTTTTTTGTAAAAATGGAGTCTCACTGTGTTGCTCAGGCTGGTCTCGAACTCTAAGCTCCAATGACCCTTTTATCTCAGCCTCCCAAAGTACTGGGATTACAGGTGTGGGCCACTATGCCTGGCCTTGATGTTTCAATTGTGGCTGCCCTGAGGACTTTCGCAGATACCCAGGAGAGGGGCTGCAGAGCATAGAGGTTCAGAGTGCAACTATCTGGATTTGAATCTAGCTTTTTCTGCCTAAATTTTCTCATCTAGAAAATGAGGATGATGAGTATCTACGTCATAAGGTGGTTGTGAGAATTGAGCTAATAGAGGAAAGCATTTAGAAATGGTGATTGGCATTTAGAGAATACTAATACCAGCTGTTTTCCAGCCTCTAGTTAAACTCCAAGGCTGGGGAATCATCTTTAATACAATTCATTCTTTTTAAAAAATAAAATACATTTGGGCCAGGTGTGGTGGCTCATGCCTGTAATCCCAGCACTTTGGGAGGCCGAGGCAGGCAAATCATGAGGTCAGAGGTTCAAGACCAGCCTGACCAACAAGGTAAAACCCCATCTCTACTAAAAATACAAAAATTAGCTGGGTGTTGTGGTGCATGCCTGTAATCCCAGCTACTCGGGAGTCGGTGGCATTTATCTTTGTACCCCCAACTTTACCTGAAAACTCGGGGGCTGGCTGGGCATTCTCTTTCATTCTGACTTTTGTTTCTTAAAAAATTTTTTTTGTTGTGTGTTCATTAAATAAATATTCAGCGGCCCAGCATAGTGGCTCATGCCTGTAATCCCAGCTGAGGATATGGGAGGCTGGGCCAGATATTTACTTTGAGGCCACACATTCAAGACCAATCTGGGTAACATGGCAAGACCCCATCTCTACAAAAAACTTAAAAATAAACAAACCAACATTGTTTGTGGGCTTACTATATACTATGGCATTCATTGGGATAAACTTTTTTTTTTTGAGACAGAGTCTCACTCTGTTGCCCAGGCTGTAGTGCAGTGGCTCCATCTCACTGCAATCTCCATTTCTCAGGTTCAAGTGATTCTTCTGTCTTGGCCTCCCTAGTAGCTGGGATTATAAGCGTGTGCCACTATGTTCAGCTAATTTTTTCATATTTTTAGCAGAGACGGTTTCACCATGTTGGCCAGGCTGGTCTTGAACTTTTGACCTCAAATGATCCATCCACCTTGGTCTCCAAAAGTGCTGGGATTACAGTCATGAGCCACACGCCCAGCCAAATGTATTTTTTTATTTTTTTGAGATGGAGTCTCGGTCTGTCGCCCAGGCTGGAGTGCAGTGGTGTGATCTTGGCTCACTGCAACCTCCACCTCCGGGATCAAGCGATTCTCCTGCCTCAGCCTCCTGAGTAGCTGGGATTACAACACAAGGTTACTTTTTATATTTTTAGTAGAGACGGGGTTTCGCCATGTTGGCCAGGCTAGTCTCGAACTCCTGACCTCAGGTGATCCACCGCCTCACCTCCCAAAGTGCTGGGATTACAAGTGTAAACCACCACACCTGGCCAGTGCCTACATTGTTCTAAGTGTTGAGAATATAGCAGTGGAAAAAACAGATTAAAACATTCCTATCCTTATGGAGTTTACTGTAACAGAGCTTACAACTCATGGAAAAAATGGTAGTATATCTAATATTGTAGAAGTGAGTGTGTAATAGTGTAACTCATTAAAAAAAGCACAATTTCAAAAAAGTTCGTGCTATAAAGCTATGTAAAAAAGGGAATGCTTTTAAACAAAGAAGGCAATCAGATAAAATGGAAAATAATATATAACTGAAGCCACTTTGTTAATTTAATTTACTATTTAAAATGTAGGCCGGGCGCGGTGGCTCACGCCTGTAATCCCAGCACTGTGGGAAGCCGAGGCGGGTGGATCACGAGGTCAAGAGATCCAGACCATCCTGGTCAACATGGTGAAACCTTATCTCTACTAAAACTACAAAAAATTAGCTGGGCATGGTGGCGCGTGCCTGTAATCCCAGCTACTCAGGAGGCTGAGGCAGGAGAATTGCCTGAACCCAGGAGGCGGAGGTTGCGGTGAGCCGAGATCGCGCCATTGCACTCCAGCCTGGGTAACAAGAGTGAAACTCTGTCTCAAAAAAAAAATAAATAAAATAAATAAATAAATAAATAAATAAATAAAATGTGGCCAGGTGAGGTTGCTTACACCTGTATTCCCAGCACTTTGGGACACTAAAGCCAGTGGACTGCTTGAAGCCAGAGGTTTGAGACCAGCCTAGTTAACACAGTGAGACGTCATCTCTACAAAACATTTTAAAAAATCAGCCAGATATGGTGGCATGCACCTGTAGTCCCAGCTACACAGGAGGCTGAGGCAGTAGATCAGTTGAGCCCAGGAGTTCAAGGCTGCAGTGAGCTATGATTGTACCACTGCATTCCAGCCTGGGCAACAGAGTGAGACCCTGCGTTTATAAAAAACAAAAAACTGGCCAGGAGCGGTGGCTCATGCCTCTAATCCCAGCACTCTGGGAGGCAAAGGCAGGTGGATCACCTGAGGTTGGGAGTTCAAGACCAGCCTGACCAACATGGAGAAACACCATCTCCCCTAAAAATACAAAATAAGCCAGGCGTGGTAGTGCATGCCTGTAATCCCAGCTACTTGGGAGGCTGAGGCAAAAGAATTGTTTGAACTTGGGAGGCGGAGGTTGCAGTGAGCCAAGATTGAGCCAAGATCACACCATTGCACTCCAGCCTGGGCAGCAAGAGTGAAACACTGTCTTAAAAATAATAATAATAATAATCATTTTTAAAAAATGCCTCCTCTGAGGCCGGGCGCGGTGGCTCACGCCTGTAATCCCAGCACTTTGGGAGGCTGAGGCGGGTGGATCACGAGGTCAAGAGATCGAGACCATCCTGGTCAACATGGTGAAACCCCATCTCTACTAAAAATACAAAAAAGCAGCTGGGCATCGTGGCGCGTGCCTGTAATCCCACCTACTCAGGAGGCTGAGGCAGGAGAATTGCCTGAACCCAGGAGGCAGAGGTTGCGGTGAGCCGAGATCGCGCCATTGCACTCCAGCCTGGGTAACAAGAGCGAAACTCCGTCTCAAAAAAAAAAAAAAAAAAAAAGCCTCCTCTGATTTTCTCATAAAATTAAACTGCTTGGCAGTTCATGAAGAAACATGAAAGCCCAGAAAACATAATACAAATTTATGTGAATAACTCTTTCCTTCCCAGAGCGGCTGGAGCCAAAAGAGACCTCATAAAATACCTTCTCCATCACAGCACTAGGGGGCGGTGGGAAATAAAGATATTTTAGCCTTTGTCTTGTGGGGGTGGGGAGCACAGGACAGTTAAGGAAGTGTGAAGCAGGGAGGCAGAGCAGGAAGAGAGGGCAGAGGGCAGAAGATGGCAATACAGTGCTTTGCATCAGAAATATGAAATAGATAATAAATGAAAAGAAAAAGTCTGCAAAAAAAAAAAAAAAAAAAGAGCATCAGACACTATTCCCTTTAATGCTCCACTGGAGAATCCTCTACATATTTTAGTCAATGTATCTCATTACATTTTATTATCCTGTGACTATCACTCAACTTGATTATGAGCTACCTGAGGACTGGAACTCTCTCGTCCATTTATGAATTCCCAGATTGGTGCATGGTGAGCAGTTCAATAAAAATTTGCAGAAAAACAGAATAAAACACTAACAAAAACAATAACCCTAACACTGAAATGAGCAATAAACTGCGTGACAGACATTGTTTTACCTGCTTGACCCGTGGTAATTGATTTAAAAAACGAGAAGAAGGGTGTGGCCCTGTGGCTCACGCCTGTAGTCCCAACACTTTTGGGAGGTCCAAGTGGGCAGAACACGAGGTCAGGAGTTTGAGACCAGCCTGGCCAACATGGTGAAACCCCATCTCTACTAAAAATACAAAAATTAGCCAAGCATGGTGGCAGGCACCTGTAATCCCAGCTGCTCGGGGGGCTGAGGCAGGAGAATCGCTTGAACCCAGGAGGCTGAGGCTGCTGTGAGCTGAGATCAACCCACTGCACTCCAGCCTGGGTGACAGAGCAAAACTCCCTCTCACAAAAAAAAAAAAAAAAAAAAGAAGAAGAAGAACGACTGCTGAGGAGAGGAGGTAGACGGAGATTACTTCTGTAATTCAACAAAGATGCAGCACAAGTAACCAGATACCTGCATCTACGATGGGGCAGGCATTGAAGAAACTGGACCTTATTAACACTGGGTTGCGCGGGTGATTGTTGCTCCCACCGTAGAGCGAGGCAGGGAAATATCCCAATCTATTCCAGCAGAGTGCTCCATGTGTAACAGCAGCAGACATGAATTTAATGCCTACGTTAAGCACGGATAGAGTCTTTAATTCTGTGAGGGTAGGAGGAGGCTCAGAGAAGCCTTTGGAGGGGCGGAGCCTCAGGCAGAACGGCATTATTATTTCCGCTTTACGGCTTTGAAATGTGATTTTTTTTTTTTTTCAAGCGGAGGCTGTCTCTGTCGCCCAGGCTGGGGTGCAGTGGGCGTGATCTCAGCTCACTGCAAACTCCGCCTCCCAGGTTCAAGCGATTCTCGTGCCTCAGCTCCCAAGTAGCAGGGATGTGAGGCGCGTACCACCACACCCGGCTAATTTTATATTTTTAGTAGAGACGGGGGTTTCACCATGTTGGCCAAGCTGGTCTCGAACTCCTGACCTCAGGGGATACGCCCGCCTTGGCTTCTCAAAGTGCTGGGATTACAGGCGTGAGCCACCACGCCCGGCCAAGGTAAGTGATTTGAGAGGTGACGCCACTAAAAGAGGCTTAACTTAGAAACACTGATCCAGAAAACTTGGCCACCAGTTTATCAGTCTCCTCCAGTGAACACGTTACTGAATCAGGCCGAGGGATCAAACTATGTATCCCACTCAAAAAATACTACCAGGGACCGGACGCGGTGGCTCACGCCTGTGATCCCAGCATTTCGGGAGGCCGAGGCCGATGGATCACCTGAGGTCAGGAGTTCGAGACCAGCCCGATCAACATGGCGAAACCCCCGTCTGTACTAAAAGTAGAAAAATTAGTCGGGCGTGGTGGCGGGCGCCTGTAATCCCAGCTACTCAGGAGGCTGAGGCAGGAGAATCGCTTGAACCCAGGAGGTGGTGGTGGCAGTGAGCCAAGATCGCGCCACTGCACTCCAGTCTGGGTGACAGAGCAAGACTCTTGTCTCAAAAAAACAAAACAAAACAAAACCAGGGAACAAAACCAACCAAGGACACTGAAGCTATCAATAAAGTTTTTCTCTTAAGAGCTCCATACTAGCCCTAGCGCGCATGCTCAAGTTCACGTGGCACGCCCGGGCTGCCTCTTCCACTTCCCTTGCAAGGTCGCTGCACAGATCCAGGATGTCCCTTGCAGTGCGCATGCACTTACCGTATCGTTATCAACGTCTCCAAGGCAGATTGCGTGCGGGAAAAGGCTCCCGCTGAACTCCAGCGCCACGCGCTGCACGTAGCTTACTGACCTCATGGCACTTCCAAGAGCAGAGGGAGCGTGGAGCCCCAGTAAATATTCCCTGAACCCCTGTCCCAACAGCCGCCAGAGCGGAAGGCCACCTAAGGCAGAAAGTTACGTCACTGCCTGAACCTCCAATCTCTGTCTTCCTCCGGGTCTTCCGGACTTGGAGGCGGGCTTACCCCTCTGCATGAGTGACAGGCCCACGGGCCACTCCTTTTCTCCACAGGGCTGCAGCCCAAGGGTAAACCAACCCTGACGTGGCCGATCTGTTCCCTTGGCAACAGGGCTACCTAGGGCTTGACCTAATAACCTTGACCCTTTTTCTTTGTTTCCCTGGTAATGAAGACTCCTAGCCATCAGATCATTCCTGGGAATCTTACTAATCTTCGTAATAACCGATAACTGCATGGTTTCGAAGAGTGTTTTTTAAATACTATCCATTAGGAGTGAAAACAATGTAGTGAGTTGCAATCAGCATATAAAAAATTAAATACAATAGAATATTCTGAGTGACTCCCAAGTAGTAAGTATAGTTTTTATGAAACCCCTGTTTCAATTGTAGATACTTATATGTGTATACTGGCTTACAATGTAAAAACAAATTTTATTTATTTATTTTTTTTACAGTGTATGTGCTTTCTGGTCACTAATTTAAAAGCCACCTGCTGCAAAGCGCATTTCACATATTTCACATAGTTATTAGTTCAGCCACTATGTCAGCTTGTATTTTTTTTTTTTTTTTTGGTAAAGGAAAACAGGTTCAGCAAGATTAAGTAAAATGGCAGAAGGGTTGTGGGCGGGGTACGTGCTCAAACAAGAATTGTTTGATCCCAAACCCCAGGGCCTTTCCATCATTTACTACCATAGTACCTAGGAAAGTCTTCAGGCTGGAAGTGAAGGTTGCCTGGATTCTGGGTCTGCTCTGTTCTGTGGCGGCCCCCAGCACAAAGCTCTTGCATCTCATGGTCTGACTCTTGTAGCACAGATGGAACCATCACTCTCATGGCTGGCTTCTTGGGTTACTGTCTTTCCATGTTCAATCCAGTTCTGCCTTTCTTTGGGGCGCCTCATCAATCAGGGCAATGTGAGTATTATTTACGAAATTGTACAGGTGTTCAATACATTTTTAGATTTAGATGTATAAACCCAGGCTAACTCATACTTGATGTTTCAAAAAAATAGTGATATCTACCTTATCTGGGATTTTGGACCAGGGGCTGTTCCTTTTTCTTTTTTGTTTTTTGAGAGTCCTGCTCTGTCGCCCAGGCAGGAGGACAGTGGTGCTATCTGGGCTCACTGCAACCTCCACCTTCCAGGCTCAAGAGATTCTCGTGCCTCACCCGAGTAGGTGGGATTACAGGTGTGAGCCACCATGCCCGGCCTGTTCCTATTTTCTATGTCTGTACATAGTGGGAGGAGGCTGGAGGGCAGGACCTTTTATTCTGGGGAAGGTGGTGGCAGATTTTTTTCCTAGACGTCCCAGTGGATCTGACAGCCAGATAAGAAAGAACATCAGATCAGAACAGTAAACTGGAGGAAGTCTAGATAAATACTGGAGACTGCAGATATATTCTGAGGCTGAACTCTGTTACAAGCTCGTATTTATGGTTGGGTACTATGGGGATGGCCAGGTCCATTAAAAGGCACTGGGTCTGGCTAGGCTTGGTGGCTCACGCCAGTAATCCCAGCACTTTGGGAGGCCAAGGCAGGTGGATCATGAGGTGAGGAGATCGAGACCATCCTGGCCAACATGGAGAAACCCCATCTCTACTAAAAATACAAAAAAAATTAGCTGGGTGTGGTGGCTCGTGCCTGTAATCCCAGCTACTTGGGAGGCTGAGGCACAAGAACCGCTTGAACCTAGGAGGCGGAGTGAGCCAAGATCGCACCATTGTGCTCTAGCCTGGCACCAGACCAAGACTCAGTCACCAAAAAAAAAAAAAAAAAAAAAAAAAAAAAGGCACCGGGTCCCACAGGTATTCCTGTGTTTCTGGTGCATTGAATACATTTTCTCGACTACAAAGCAGTTGCATGCCCTCTCATCCTGTGTTCTACCCCATCTCTAGTCTCTCATCCTAGTTCAAACCCTAAGCTTCATATTAGGTTTTAAGGGGTGGGAAAACCAAAACCAGTATCAAAATGTTCACCTCTAGGGTGGCTGTGGAGGCTCATGCCCATAATTCCAGCACTTTTGGAGGCTGAGACAGGCAGATCTCTTGAGCTCAGGAGTTCAAGACCAGCCTGGGCAATATGGCAAAACCGTGACTCCACCAAAGATAAAAAATTAGCTGGGCATGGTGGTGGTGCACGCCTGTGATCTCAGCTACTCAAGAGGCTGAGGCGGGAAGATCTCCTGAGCCCAGGAGGCAGAGGTTGCGGTGAGTCAAGATGCTGCCACTGCACTCCAGGTTAGGTGACAGACTCTGTTTCAAAAAAAAAAAAAAAATTACCCCTAAAGTGTTTTTTTTTTTTTTTTTTCCGAGATGGAGTTTAGCTCTTGTTGCCCAGGCTGGAGTGCAGTGGCACGATCTCAGCTCACTGCAACCTCTGCCTCCCAGGTACAAGCGATTCTCCTGCCTCAGCCTCCCATGTAGCTAGGACTACAGGTGGGTGCCACCACACCCAGCTAATTTATATATATTTTGTAGTAGAGACAGGGTTTCACCATGTTGGCCAGATGGTCCTGATCTTTTGACCTTGTGATCTGCCTGCCTTGGCCTCCCAAAGTGCTGAGATTATAGGTGTGAGCCACTGTGCCCAGCCCTGTTAAGTGGTTTTAAAAGAAATATATTACTAAATAACTCAGAACAAGAGATGAGATGGCCTAGCTTCTGTCATCAAGTGCCTTGGCCTAACCAGTTATCTGAGATCAGCCCCTGACCCAGCATTCCCCAATGACCTTAGTTTTATCTTCCTCATCATTTGGGTATCTTGGTCTGGATATTTCTGCGACAGGGGGTGTCTGTTTTTAAATTGTAGAGTATGTTTGCCATGAAAATCATGTAATTATGATCACAACTTCTATACCATGCTTTTTGGCTTTTGTCAAGAGAGCCAAATAAAGTTAGAAAAGGAGGAAAGATAGGTATCCAAGAAATTGGGATAAGTCAAGTCCTTCCATGCCTGTGCCTCTCCTCACCTTGTGTCAGTTACTTCAAGTGCAGTGAGTGTTTTGTATGACCAGGCATTGCGGAACCATATGGACAGATCCCTGGCTCCACAAAGAGCACTCCTGTTTTTGGCCCCTTTCTAGTTGGATGGTTGCTAGGTCTTTTTGGGCACCACCTAAATTCCATCTTGTCTAAGCGAAGCACTCTTTCAGCTGGTTTTTGTCTTACTTCCCAGAACTGTCCAGTTGGGTTATCTTCCTAGTTAGGTGACATGGATACAGTTGTGTGGGTGGCATATTCTTTACAAACAATAGAAATCTCCGTAGGAGGAGATGAGGGGATTAAGTGGGAAGCATTTCTAGGAAGATTTTGTCCACTTCATCCTCCAACAGTAGACAGAGTGGTCTTATCCAAGTTGTTTGCCCAGGGTGCCCAGGTAAGAGACAGAGTCTCCAAAGACCTTTCAAAACATGAGGCTCAGAGCCTCACCACCCTGGGGGCAGGGCCCAGGGCTTCTTAATGGGCTCGGTTTGGCTTATATCACCTCTTCCCCCTCCCCTCTCTCATTCATGGTACACCTTAGCATATTAAAATGTTGGAAAAGTTACATTTCTTGACCTAGAAACTGGGCAGAGTAGTGTGGGGCAGCTCTGCACTGAGTGAATTGCTGTTATTCAAAGCTCCACTTAGTCTCACTCCCTTACTCACGTTTGGCCCTATTAAAAAGCACCACCAACTCTGGGAAACTTTGATCCTAAAACTAACTCGTCAGGGTGGTCTGCTCGAGACTACTGATGGATGAGAAGTTCACTGTCACTCTGTCACTTAAACATTAGGAAAGAGGCTTAAAACATAAAGAATGGGGAAGATGTTTTGGAACCAGGTAACACTGTAAAGACTAAATGCCACCGAATGGTTGAATTTAACATGGTTAACTTCATTTCACCTAAAAATGTGAATTTCACCTAAAAAAATACAAATCATTTTATGTCTGAGGCACGTTTAAGAGTGAAACAGGAGACTGAAGATCCTGTGGAGAATGCATGTCTGGTGGGAAGACAGGATATGGCTGATCCTTTCTTCTAGCCAAAGGACCCTAGACATTCACAAAGGTATTGCTTTTTCTTGATCATCACTGAGACCATTCACTCTTACTTTGCCTCTCAAATTGGTGTAGTGTGGCTGGGCGCAGTGGCTCATGCCTGTAATCCCAACACTTTGGGAGGCCGAGGCAGGCAGATCACCTGAGGTCAGGAGTTCAAGACCAGCCTGATCAATATGGTGAAACACCATCTCTACTAAAAATACAAAAATTAGATTGCGCCATTGCACTCCATCCTGAGTGACAAGAACTATATGCTGTCAAAACAAACAAACAAAAATTTAGCTGGGCATGGTGCTGTGTGCCTATAGTCCCAGCTACTCTGGAGGCTGAGTTGGGAGGATCTCGTGAGCCCAGGGAGTCGAAGTTGCAGTGAGCTGTGATTGCACCGCTGCACTGAGCCTGGGCAAGAGGGCGACCTGTTTAAAAAAAAAGAAAAAGAAATAAAAAATAGGCCAGGCACAGTGACTCATGCCTGTAATCCCAGCACTTTGGGAGGCTGAGGCAGGTGGATCACTGGAGGTCAGGAGTGCAAGACCAGCCTGATCAATATGGTGAAACCCCATCTCTACTAAAAATGCAAAAATGAGCCGGTTGTGGTAGTGTGTGCCTGTAGTCCCCGCAACTCAGGAGGCTGAGACAGAATTGCTTGAACCAGGGTTGTGGAAGTTGCAAGCTGAGATTGTGTCACTGCACACCAGCCTAGGCGACAGAGCAAGACTGTCTCCAAAAGAAAAATTAAATTTTAAAGAATTGGTATAGTGTCATTCGGTACAGTATAAATTAGTGTTTTTATGATTCCCAGATTTTCTAACTGGGAATAATGCATCCACATTATCTGAGGTTGGTAAACAACTGGGGAACTGCAGCCATAAGGCAGCAATAATGAATTCCAGAAAGAACCAATTTTCCTTACTTACAATGTCTATACTCTTACATTGGTTTTATTC